ACTTCATCACCCACGTCTTCTCCCTCTTACACGAAGACCACCACCACCTCCCGCTGACTGTCCAAGCCCAAGCCCGGCTACATGGGCTTGGCCATGGCTCTGCCCTCAGCAGCGCCCTGCTTACCGCATGCGCGCGCGCACGCTTGCCATGCACTGGCTCAGCAGCCCGCGAGCGCTAGCTCTAGCAGCGCTGCCACATCAGAATGCAAGTGCCCGATCCCCCACACCGAGCCCTGCCCTTTCCTATATCGAAAGTGGCAGGAGCTTCCTTCCTTTCCCACGTGAGGCCGAGTTTCCACTAGCTTCAGTCTCGGCCCAAGTGTCTGCGGCCACGCCCGTTCCCCCAGGCTCAAACGTGGGATGCTCCCTGCTTCGACCACATTGCTGGAAGGGCATGGAAGGCTCACAAATATTTCGGACTCTCCCGAGCAAGGCGGATGCAACTAACTGGCGCGTGGCAACTGTCTGGCGCCGACCAAGATTTGCAAAACTTGTCGAGTTCAGGGCGCATTGAGATTCAGGGGGCCCGCCTTCACTTAGGGCGGGCAAGTGCATGCTGCAGGGCCCTATGCCGAGGCCTAGACTCTCGCACTTCTAAGTTCTGAGGGGAAAATTAGGCACTGTAGTGACTGTACCCAGTTTTTTTTTTTTTCCCCCCCAAACAGCCTGAAACAGGTCCTTATGGCCCTTGCTCCATTTCCATTCTGGGAAGCATCAGTCCGGTTCCTATTCCACCGGCAAGTCAGAATACAATGTTACATCATGACACACACTCACGCTTCCTTCCGTCTGGCCGAAGGACCCCTGACCAGCATTGATTACTCCGACCTCGTGGAGGATTGACTGTCAGCTTGCCTTACTTCCACCTTTCCCTCTCAGGTCCACGTCATGAACCTGTCAGCAAAATAATAAAGAGCAAGAAAGGTAAAAGAAGCTACGGCGGATTCACTTTCGGAAATTGCCCATCAATATTACGTGCCCTGTGATGGATCTTGTCCATCTGCTGGCTGTGATCTCTGTCTTCTCTACCCTGCTTCTGAGTTATGCCAGTCTTTCCACTGTATGCGAAGGTCATTTATCTCTGCTACTCTCTGCTACTTTGCCCCCTGTGAGCCACACCTTAGTGAATTTTGCCGAGATTCTTCTCTGTTGCTCTTTTTCGTCGTCTGGCGTGGAGTGTCTCGTCTTTTGCCACTTGCACAGAATCTCTGCCTGAATCAAGGTCCTTGTCTCTGCCCATACCTTCTGCTTTGGAGTTGAGAGTCTCTCTATGGTTCTACCGCACCTTTCCTTCCAGATGGACCACAGCGTTACCTTTCTGATCATTCCGAACCACGTTTTCTCTGTCTTTCTCTGTCTTGTGGAATTGAGCTGGGATGTTAGTCCATAGATAGGAGTTGGATGGGGTGTTCAGGGAAGGGAGTCAAGAAGAGGGAATTCCAGAGTTCCGAGGCCATCGCCCCGAATTTTGTAGCCTCTCTACAGCGTATCAGGCAATGTAACATAACTTCTGGTTTATTTTCTGAACATACCGCAGTTGGGGTCGTTCTTACTTCTTCTGATATGCAGCCACTGGTTATCCGGTAGGGCCACATATGATATGAGCCATTGGAGGCTTCTGATTTTGACCGGACAGATTGATTTGATTTTTTTCCCACGGTATTTGTGGGATCTGACTAGCGTCCTGACCTAATAACTTCTGCCATCTGTTCTTGATCGTTGGGTCAGGATCCTTTGTTTTGAGGAGTAAGTTGTATCCCAGTTTGACTGTGTATTCCTGGATGGGGACCTTCATTTTGAGCCTTCTGTTTCTTTTTTTTTTTTTTTTTTGATAAAACTCAGACCCCTCTAGTGCTAGCGATGCCGATGGGAACAGACACCGCTAGCACCTGGGGACAGGCCCCTATCTGGTGTTCAAGCCCATTCTGCTGGATCAAATTCCAAGTCTTGAATCGCCGTATCTACTCTGAAGATTGTTTTTGGCCAAGATCCCAACACTCTTTACTTTTCGGAGAACAAAACGGTTTAGGACTGTTCTTTCCACGTCCTTATTTATGATAGATGGGAGGCCTTGCGTGAAGGAGGTAATTGGGAAAGAGGTAAACACAGCCAGCGTAACCGACCCTTGCTGTTTATGGGAGAATTGATAGGCCCTTGAAAGGGTTAGATCCTGCACCCCCTTAGCGTTTTTAACCTTGTACAAGATGTGCTTTAATATGCGCGAAACTTTCTTGGACTTCTCACTGATATTTCCTTGCTTCCCAGTTCCGCTGGCGCCATCACTGCTCTGTCTTTAGTAGGTGACGCCGTTCTATTGGCATTGCTTCGACGATCTGACCTTGGGTTTCTTTTCCTTAAGCTGCGGCACCCTTTCAGGTCTTCGCTTAGTTCCTTCTTTTTTCTCATCTCCCATCGTTCTTAAATTTGTTCCGTAAGTGTTGGATCTTCCATACTCCTCGTTCTAGCCAGTGCCCCCATTTCATTTCCGTCTCGGTAAGCGCGGCGGTTTTATCCATTCTCGTCCCACCTCTTCAGACGAATCCTGTTTTCTGGGGTTGCTGAAGAAGGGTTGTCTTCGAGAACCTCGTCCCGCCTTTTTTTGGACCAATCCTGTTTTCTCAACTTTTCTGGGAAATTTCTCTTCCATGTGTGAATAAGTTCCCGAAGTGCTTTGCTTTTTTTTTTCTTTTCTTTTCTTTTCAATTTTCTGCACTTCTTCCTCTTCCTCCTCTTAAGCTTCTTCCGTGTCTGCGTTCTTAATACTTCTTATCCAATGGCCAATATCAGTTGCCAAGCCAGAAGAACAAGGCCTGAAAATGTTGAGGGGTGAGCTGAACGGGGTGGTTCTCTTATCTGGTTGAGCGGGTAGGTGGGTCCACGGTAGATCGTCATGCATCCGTGAGGGGTTGCGTGAGCCCAGTAAGCTACCATAGTATGGTTTTTAACTTCCTCTATACTAGCTCAACCTTTTGATATTGTTCGCTATTGGCTAGATGTGTTTCTTCAAGGCAGATTAGCCCCGTACCATCCCATGGTACGGGGAATTTTCTTTCATTTTTCGTTTGAGCTTCTTCTGGGTCCCCCGGGAGCCGCCCCCGCAAAGTTCCCAACCAATCAAAATGCCCTACCAGCGAAAGCCGTGCTTTGAACACAAAACCACCTCCACAACGGCAGCAACTCAGAGCTTGATTTTGACTGGGGTGCTTGCACCATGATGATGCTTCTGGGAGAACTTATTATCCAGCGTTATGGGCACAATAGCGAGGCTCGGTAAAGCTGTGACCAACCACGGCTGATAAAAAGACGTGTGTAGAAAAGAAGAAGTCCTCAGTTATTCAGTTGCAGGCTTGCAGTCGCGGTGTGTGCGAGATAGCAATGCCTCGGCAGGCTGTGTGCAGGTAGGTCCACAGAGTACCAGAAAAAGGCGGGCAGCACCTCGGCCTTCACTTTTGTTGGCCTGAGATGGCCAGGCTGCCGCCCGTACCCGTGGCCTGGATCCCGATAGAGCCCCAGAGGAATCCAGAGGCAGGCCCAGGCAGCCTGGTCGGTACCCTGGCCTGGCTAGAAAGGTAGAGGTCGGGGGCAGCACTAGGTATCCGGACAGTGCATTGGCACCGGGCCGCTTCAGTGCTGAGTTTGGCCGGTCGCGCAAGGAAAAGGCATCTGTGGAGGACGGGGAAGGCTGTTGGCAGTACGAGCTATGTGAAGGGATGCACGTAGTGATGACAAGGATGAGCTCCAGCATGGGACATTCTTGGCTCAGGCATCTGTGGGAGAAGAATTGTACTCTGTAGTGTTGTACATTGGCGTACTGTGCGATCAAGCATTCAACCAGGTAGACGATCCTAGTTGCTGGTAGAGAGACATGCGCGATAGCAGAGAACGATTGTTGCTGTTGCGTTAATTGTTGCGAGACGCGAGAAGGGGACTACTGTTAAACAGTAGTAGGCTAGTAGTAGCCCTTTCCCACCGGACCTAAATTAACGAAGCAAAAAACGCATTTTGCCAAAAGCCTGAAGTCTACAGAGCAGGCCTTTGGTAAAACGAAGGGTAGTAGGCTAGCAGTAACCCTCTCCCACCGGACCTCTACCAGGCCTCGACACCATAGATTTTGGCCCGGTACTCGTAAACGAGTACAATGTAAAGTTCCGCTGCCGTTGGGCTGGTGGTTTAATCATCAAGAGACTTCAACATTCTCCATCCTTGTGCTGGTATGATTGTTGCCTTGTCATTTCTACTATTTGCCTGGTCGCTGTACAGGCGCCGGTCAAGAAAGTTTATTGTTGTTGTTGTTGTTGTTGTTGTTGTGCTTGTGCTTGTGCTTGTGCTTGTGCTTGTGCTTGTGCTTGTGCTTGTGCTTGTGCTTGTACTTGAGCTTCTCCAGAGCGGCGGTTGCTTTGCATGTGCATAGGAGTGTTCAGCTTGGCTTAGGTTTGCTAGGAAAGTGCCACAAAGAAAGATAAAGAATCATGACAGAATTTCAAAGAAATTAATTCAAAGAACTGAAACTTGAAAAACGTGTGGGCACGTATTGAACTGACCTGGCACGTTCAAGGAAAGCAGCAACCTGCACATTTTCAACAAAAAGCCAAATCATGGAGTGTCAAAGAACAAAAGACAAGTACAGATTCCACCGAATCAGAAAGCAATCAGTGGAAAATTGGAAATGCCATTCATTGTTTTCATTGAGAGTCTCTTCATGATGTCATGAACAAGGAGCAAAGAAAGGCAGACAACGTTAGAATGTCAAATCATGGAGGACGGACAATTCAATTTGAGCACTCCTTTTTTCCCCATTTTTGGCCATGCATGATGTCTTATGAAACTAGGCGCCTGAGATAGACAGAAATCATTAATTGGGCCAGAAATTCCAAATTCACTTTAATTCAGATGAAAAAATTGCAAAGTTGACAACTTGACACCATTAAAAAATATTTCCAGTTCTTTGGGACATCCGTTAACATTGGAATGATACAGAGAAGATTAGCTTCGCCCTGCGAAATGATCGAAATATTTAATATTAACGTCATGGTTGCATCCCTGCCGACCGCCGACCCTGACCGCAACCGTATTGCAGCCGACCAGTAGGGCCGACCGGTCGGCGGTCTGCCGACCAGTCGGAAAACAACCATCCACTATTTTTTTTTCAGATCTGAGTTGGAAGCTGTACTGCGCTTGCTGAGTACAGCCCAAATCCGCTGAGAAACTTTTGGGGATGGGGGGGTTGGGGGTGGGGTGTATAGGGGGACATAGGGGGGTATAGGGGTGGAGAATTGGAACGATACAGAGAAGAGTAGCTCGGCCTAAGTTCCTTGGTTCTCTATCTTTCGTGCCCTGCTTCCCCGGATTGTTCGTCTGCCTTTCAGTCTTGTGCTTGTATCTTTTTCTGTCTTTCGTATGTCTAGTGGACTTGCAGTGCTACTTCGAAGATTGTCTATTGAGCTGACTCACTCAGATACGTGTTTCCTTCTGAAGTACTGTGTCGATATGTTGCACGGTTTTTGTGTTGTTCTCTGTGCTGACGATGTACGACATGTGTTTCCACACACATCATCACACACACACACAGACACCCACCGACACACACACACCAACACAACAACACACCCAGACACCCACGCCATGCTGTGTGCCACTGCATGTGCCTGAATCAGGTGCCAATGCAGTGATTTACTCTGGCCGAGTGTTCCTGCATGGCCTCTCTCTCTCTCTCTCTCTCTCTCTCTCTCTCTCTCTCTCTCTCTCTCTCTCTCTCTCTCTTTTGAGCGCATGTCGCTCCCCGTCTCCATCTCTCCCAATATAACCTTCTCTCACTCTCTCTCTCTCTCTCTCTCTCTCTCTCTCTCTCTCTCTCTCTCTTTTGAGCGCATGTGCAGCATCACACTCTCGCTCCCCGTCTCCATCTCTCCCAATATAACCCTCTCTCTCTCACATACACTGACACACTGGGCTGTGCTGTGGGCCACGTCGTGCCCAAAAGCGGGTGCTTGGGTGGTACATTTGCTCTGGCCTCACTGCCCAAATGCTTTCGGGCCAGGCAGGCCGAGATGTTTTTGGGCTGCATGGCAGGGCTTCACAGCACTGGTGGGACGTGGCACACCACAGTTCGTGGCACCTGTTGGGCTCCACGGCAGCGTTTTTTCTTCCTGGCCGGGTTCTGGTTTGCAAGGTTTCCAGTGCCTGTTTTCCGCTATTAAACCACCACCACCACCACCGAGCCGTGTTTTCCTGCGGCGGATTTGTCCTGTGCGACAAGTTCAAAACGAACAGACGCGGCACTCATGTCTTTTCTTCTTGGCTGGCGCCACCAGCCAAAGAGTACTGGGAGGTTGAGCCCCCCGGGAATGTGGTGGTAGACAAATCCGTTGTAAAACTTTGCCTGTGAAAGGTAGCAGTGGTTTAATTAGCGAAAACTTGGCGTAGACAAATCCGTTGCAAAAAGTTTGCCAGTGTCGTTATGTTTCCCAATAGCATTCGGTCTCATGATCAGTTTATGAACAGACAGATATATACGTGTGTCATTCAGCCACCAGGTAGGTGCGAGCCGTATTCCCCCGAGTATAGAACATACGATCATTACAGCTGTATTTGGGGCAACTTTCAGTCTAGGTACAGTGACAACGACCGTGCGTTCTATTCCAGCGAAGATGGTAGATACACATTCTGCACCTTGCGGAAGTGGACGCCACAGTGAAGTGCCTGTGGCCATAGTAAGTCAGCAGCATCAGTATTAGAAATTTAAGACACTGCTTTTATTTTACTAATTTCATTTTTAACCTTTGTGTGAAGTTCACTTACTTCATTTTTAACCTTTGGATGAAACATTGACAGGGCAGGGAGGTGGGTGCACCCTCAAAAAAAAAGAAGCTGACCTGTGCAGGTGTGAACATGCCTGTCCACCTGGTCGTGTTTCCGTCACCTCTTGTTGCTTGTCCCCGATGAGGGATTGGCCATTTGTACGATGAAACGGCGTTAACATACTCATCACCATCAGAGGTGCTTGCTCTGATAATCCCACTGCAACAGGAACCGCAGGGCAGAAAAGAATGGAAAATAAAATCTGTAAAAAATTAATATTGCAAAAGATTAGTCATTGAAAAAGAAATGATAAAATCGATGGAAGAATCATCATCACCATCGATCGAGAAATCATCATCATCATTTTCATCATCCCACCACAACTTGGCCCCGACCGTGCAATGGTGGAATCATCGTCGTTCCCCCACAGCTCAAGCTGGACCGCGCAATTGAGTCATCATCCTTATCATTATCACCATCATCATCATCATCATCATCATCATCATCATCATCATCATCATTCCATTATCCCAATCATCATCATCATCATCATTCCATTATCCCAATCATCATCATCATTCCATTATCCCAATCATCATCATCATTCCATTATCCCAATCATCATCATCATCATCATCATCATTTTTCCGAAAGCACCTGGTGGCATGCAGGACCACCAGGCTGCTGACTGGATGTGAAAACGCCTGGTTGAACCTGGCCGCTAAGGCTGCCTGACCGGGATGGGTTCATTTTTCGAATCCATCCTGCTTTAGCGCGGGATGGGTTCATTTTCCGAATCCATCCTGCTTTAGCGCTTCGCAAGTTTCCCGCTGCTGTGCTGTTGTCGACCTCTCCCGCTGCCATGTGGTTGTCGACCGTCCGTCAGCCTTGCCGAGCCATCGCCTGTCAGAAGTCATCACACCATCGCCATTCCAAGTTGCTGCCATCTTGTTGATGAAGGTGGCAGCACTTCATCTCAGGCCATGAGGAGGCAGCACATCGACAATGAGGAGGAGCCAAATCACCCAGTCCGGCTCTCTCTCTCTCTCTCTCTCTCTCTCTCTCTCTCTCTCTCTCTCTCTCTCTCTCTCTCTCTCTCTCTCTCTCTCTCTCTCTCTCTCTCTCTCTCTCTCTCTCTCTCTCTCTCTCTCTCTCTCTCTCTCTCTCTCTCTCTCTCTTTGTAAGTTCGTGTTTACTATTTTTGTTTCTGCACTCTGGATTCCTGTTGGACTTCTATTCTTGAAGATTAGTTTCGGCGGAGGAGGCTCAGGAGGGACATGTGCAGCGTAGAGACATGCAAGTAGGTGGCAGGACAGGGAAGGAGGACGAGTGTCGAGGTTGGCGATTTGGCATGGGTTAAGCCACCAGTTGAACACCAATGCAACTTAGGAGTCGAAATCGGCCCAATCTAAAGAATTCGGAGCTACAGTGCTACCGGACCAAAATGACTGGCGGCACCAGCCTTGTGCGCCACTGGTGATTCGACTCTCATTGGTGCGCAGTGCAAAAATCCGTGTCTGGAAAGAGAGGCTCAGAGGCACTGGTGGTCTAAGTCATCTGAGTTGATGCTAGAAGAGGACATATCACGAAAGCCGATGCCGCAGTATTACAGACCATGGAGTTGATTCTGACAGCCCCACCTATGTGATGGATGTTGTTCCTCAGCTTTGTAATTACCCAGTATTTCATGCATCGAAACTCTTGCCTTTTGCAAACAGCGATCAGTTTCCCTTTTCTCCGTTGCATGGTGCCTCAAACAATGAGCGACTGTGTTGATGTTGACTGAATTGTGGTGCACAGTCTGATGCCTGCGCCCAAACCACCACGCCGAGGAAGACCACGAAAGCCTCTGTTTCAGTTTCAAGTCCATGTCAGACATAATGTCGATCCAAGCGAAGACAGGTGGTTCACGAGGGAAGGATTGATCAAGTCTGCGCCCCGAGCGGCCAACGACAAGCATAAGGGTTTTCAGAGGACTTTCGAACCTAGGGGGGGAAGGAATGTGAGGATCTAGGCCTCCGTGGGCCACAGAAAACGCCGCACAAGCAAAGTGCAGGCCAGGCCTAAGTGAAGGAAGTGCCTGAGAAATGTTGTGCCCCAATCTAAGGACAGCCCAGGCGATTACCCAGCCGGGATGATGGTCCGGAGTTACTTGTGCTGGTACCAAGACCCCAGGCTTATGGACTGCCTACCCGAGGAGGCCCAGATCCCAGCCGAATGTGAGACAAAACAGAGCACGCCTGGGAGTGAAACACATTCAGCAGCAGGCGCTATCGGGCGCAAGCACTGGCAGACTGCAGGAGGTATGTGCCTGCACAAGGAAGGAGGCAGCAATGCAGCAGACTGCCAAGCAAGCCTGCCATAGCTGAGGGCAGCTTTGAGCTAGGGGAAACAGTGGCGAGAAGGTCGGGGTAGAGAAGGGAGGAGGAGGAAAGCAGCAGGAGCGAACAGAAAATTACCTAGTGTTCTCTGATGAGCACCTATGTGATCGGACTCTTCAGCAGCACCCAGGTCAAGAGTGTGGAGAGAGTGTAAGAGGTGGTAGGCTAGCATCTGCAGGTTGAGGCAGGAGAGCAGCATAGGCAGCCATTGTGCCACATCATATAAGGGCTACTACAGTGTTGTTGCATTGACTGCTGGAGGCACAAAGACGGCTTTCATTGTCAAGACCAGAGCCTTCAATGTTCAGCTCGTTCTTGATTTGGTATGCTGTTGACTTTGCCATTCTGGTTTCAGTTCGGTGACTTGAAATTGTGGAGTTCCAATTGGCTGATTCCTTGCACCTTCTTTTATTTCTCTTTCTTTTCTCAACTCCTTTGCCTTAGACTATGCAGGTAATCTAACTTGTTAATGATAAAAACTTGTAAAAAGAGACACATCATAATAATGAAATTAAATGAATCAATGATAATATTTCATTTTCTTTTTCCCCCCTGTTTTACAACTCCTTTACCTGAGGCTACACAATAATCTGAGAATGATGAACAACACAGGCCCACTACCCAGGGCACGACGGTCCCCACGTATAGATCGAAGCTCGGTCTGCTCTCTTTTCTTTTCGTTTTGCTGGCTCCTGCGGCCATTTCGGTCCGTAGCCCTGAGCCTCTGAAATTTTCGAGTTGGCTCGATTTCGATTCTCAAGTTTGCCTGGGCGATGTGCTGGCGGTGGTTTAAAGAGTCTTCTAAGCTCTCGTCTTTTCTTACAACACATGCCCGCCACCCCCAGTACATCTGAGCCTCTTTTTGCCCACCACCCAGTACATCCGAGTCTCTTTTTGCCGACGCGGATTCGCCCTGTGCACAAGCTTGGCCGAAACACCAGAGTGACTCATTTTCTTTTCTTTTTGCCGGCACCGGTGGCCGTTTGGTCCGTAGCCCCGAGCCTCCAAAATTTTCAAGTTGGCTCGATTTCGATTCTCAAGTTTGCCTGGGCAATGTACTGGCGGTGGTTTAAAGAATCTTCTAAGCTCTTCTGCTTTCTTCTTAATTAAAAACAAAAAAAAGGGATCTCTCTCTCCTCCATACACAGGCGCCATGCCTTTTTTTTTTTTCTTTTTTTTTTGTCTGTATCGATCCTGAGCTCTTCTTAATTCAGTCAAGCTGTTCTTTTTCTTCTTTTTTCTTTTTCCTCTTCAGTGAAGCTAAATTGTCCTCTTCTTTTCTTCTCTCTCTCTCTCTCTCTCTCTCTCTCTCTCTCTCTCTCTCTCTCTCTCTCTCNCACACACACACACACACACACACACACACACACACACACATCTCCTTTGCCATGAAAGAGTATGCAACAATCTCAGAATCATGAACAAAGCACAGGATGCATGCAAGGAGGTTTCTTTCCCTGCAGTCATGCCACTGGTACTTGAGTCTGGCACCTCTGTGAGAGCCCCCACTGCAGTTTATCCCAATCTCTGTTATCATGTCCAAGACTTGATACGGTCTTCTAAAGAGAGGTCACTAGCAACTGAACATACATGCATATATATCATGGTTGTCAACCGGACATCCGGATCGGGATCCAGACGGTCCGGTCTGGATGTCCGGATCCGGTGTCCGGTTTGAGGTGTCCGGTTGGGCCCCATTCTGAGAAATTCGGAAAAAAAAATTGGGGTCCCCATGCAATTTTCCAGTGCCTGGTGGACCCCCGAAAATTGTTGGCGCAGTTTTTGGTGGACCGTCGGGCCAACCGGACCAGCCCTGAAGGGCCTGTACTTGCAATCTTGGGTGAGCTTCAGCGGGCCAAGCAGAACTGGTTGTGTGTGTGTGTGTGTGTGTCTGCATGTGATCTCCCCCCCGACAGTCCCAATTCCACCCAGATGAATAGATTCAGAATCAAAGCGGTCTTTGTCATATTGCACACAAAGAGAGCATTTGAGATGAGACAGTCACAGTCCAACATATATTAAGGCAATTTTATAATTATTAGACAGCTTTTGGTTGTCCTTGGGGTACCCCTTCCATTGTTCTTGCAGCTGTGTCTGTGCACGGCACTGTGTGTGTATGTGAGTGTGTTCAAGATAAGTCGGATAACACAAGTTACACAACTACAGTAGCCTCTTTTATATATATATATATCGTCACAAATATATATATATATATCGTCACAAACAGAACTGCCCGGTAAACCGTAGGCAGAGAGAGAGAAGAGGACAACATATATATGTATATATATTCGGACATCCGGACATGTTCTTTCATAACCGGACCGTCCGGCCCGTATGTCCGGTTGTCCGGATCGATGTCCGGTTTACCGGACGTCCGGATTAATCCAGACACGGGTCCGGGCCTGCTGTCCGGTGTCTGGATGTCTGGGTCCGGCACATACCTATTAACTAAAGGAGCACAATTTGTGAAGCAAAAAAAGAAAATAGCAGAGAGCATGAATGAAGCATTCTGAAAACAGTCTTTTACCTTGATTTGTGAAGCAAAATAAGAAAATAGCAGAGAGCATGAATGAAGCATTCTGAAACCGGTCTTTTGCCTTTTCCAGTACGGTTGTGTTCTTTCTTTCCTTGTTGTGGCTTTTTTCACGGTTTGCATATTATTTTATTATATATCCTACGGTTTATCTGTTTGACGATGATGAGTTGGTGAAACTTCAACGAAACAGTTTGTCACAGCCCCTCGTTTGTTGTCCTGTTCTCCCTCTCTGCCCATGGTTTACCGGTCAGCTCTGTTTGACGATATATGTATATATATAATAATATGTAATAGTATACCCCTGTATCTAGATTCTAGATGTTCGTATATTCTACTTAAGATTGAAGTTCTCATTGAACACATGAGATACCTTGAAAATAACATCCATGATGACAATGGTCTGAACAAACACAATGGGCGAGCGGGTCCTGGTTGGTTGGTGGGGAATGCCACCCGTTGCCAGGGGTTAGGTTCAGCCCTAACGGGATAGGCTCAACCCATAACCCTTAGTGTGGCTTGCTGCTGGAGGGTAGATCAAGGTGTGTATGATTCCTAGTTAGTTAGGTAGTGGGAGGTATATTGAGAGAAGAATATAGCTTAGTTAAAAAAAGAAGAAAAAAAGTAACAAAGAAACAAAACAACCAAAGCAAGCAAGGAAACGACCCCGATCTAACCCAAGCTGTCCCAACCCCGAACACCCAGCACCGAGTCCGAAACCCAAAGCAAAAGAACAAACAAATGCGAAGGCGAACAAAGAAAAAAAGAAACAAAGAAACAAAACCAAACCAAGCAAAGAAACAAAACAACCAAAGCAAGCAAAGAAACAAAACCAATCTAAACCATTGAGAAAGACGATGGTGCCTTGCCTTTCAAGGAGGATTCATAATAGGCTCCTTGTGGGGGCAAGTTTGCGGTGATCTAGAGAAGTAGAAAATAAAGAGAAAGAAGAAGAGGTTTTGGGGAGGAGTGGGGAAGGATCCTCTAGAGAACGCACAAGCTGGCGACACAGGACACCAAGAGAAGTGGGGAGATGCAGAAGTGGGTTGTGCTTGTTACCCAGCTGCCCCGCAGGAGATAGCGCCAACCCATTCATGAACAGCACTCAAGAATTCCGCATCTAATGGACATAGCCACGGACCGTGGCCTGGATTTTCATTGAGTTCAGCAGCAAAATTGTCCCCCTTGTTGCTCTCTTCACACTTGATGCTGACGTGGCAAAGATAGCCCTCGTCAACCTCCATGGCGTCACCACTCATCTCCTCCTGTCCATTATTGATACCTGTCCTCCCTTTCTCCAAATTATCACGTTGTTGCCTCCTCTTTCCGCCTTTTGCCTGCCCTGCCAGTCCCGCACTTGTCTGCTGTGGTGTGCCTGTCGATCTGGCGCTATCAACTTCAGCTGACTGTGTTGCTGATCCATCCAATGGCGGCAACGGGACCATTTTCATAATCCTGTATGATTTGTCAATGGTGACTCTCCTTGAGGCGACAGAAGTAGGAAAACACATCTCTCTTGACCTCCCACCTGCATCCGACGCACAACATGGAAGCAATCATATTTGAGAACAGACATAAGCAATGCCAGCACCAACACACTTGTCTGTCGTAGACTGTCACCAGAACGTAGACCCCTTTTCCACTCAGATACGTAGAGTCGTAGACCCAAAATTAAAACAGCCTTAGCCTTGTCTTGTAATCTTCTGTCGAGTTATGTGCGTGCGTTTGGGGGGATAAGACTTCCCTGATCGTACCGTGGCATGTTGCATCGAACAGTGTGCTTGAAAACGACACTCGGAAAAGAGCCCGCAGCCAGGTATGCCAATGGAAGGAACACAAAAAATGTCATGTGAAGGCCAAAAAGCCCAGAAGAATCAAGGGCAAACAACAAGATAAGCAGTACGGCGGCACTATGAAGCAGCACAACAGCGAGGCAGCACAGCGAAAGGCAGTGGGACAAAAGGGTGTGAGCCTCTCAATTGAGGCGGCAATTCTGTTTTCAGATTCTCACTTTTTGGCGGTTTCTTTTTTTGAGGTTTTATTGATTTGGAGTTCTTATTATGTATTAATTTATTTTGATTATTGTTTTCTGTTATGGTTCAGATTAATGAGGTCGCCGGACAGGAAATTAGGAGCATGGCCGATCAAGGCCAACAGGGTAGGACTGGGTACTTCAGTTAGTCTCCAGCTGCCTTTCAGTTACCTTGTAACATTATGTTTCCCCTTTCTATGTCTTGTTATTTTCATGCTTGCCGGGAATAAGTAACCGGACTGGTGCCCTTCCAGAATATAAAGAGGGTTGTGCTGTGGGGGGGGGGGGGAGAAAAAAAAAGTCAGCAAAACAAGCAGGCAAGTAGATACAAGGCAGCAAGACAAAAGGCAGCAGCAAGGCAAAATAGTGAAGCAGAAAAGCCCCAAGGCAAAAGGCAGCAAGCAAAAAGGCAACAAGGCAAAAGGCGATTTCGCATCCTAACCACATGGCGCGATTTCGCGCCTTCAACCCCCAAACCCTTCCTTCGACTTCCCCCTTTAGCTTTCCCCCCTTCCCCACTTCTCTCTGTCACACACACACACACATACACAAACACAAATTATGGAAAAGAAAAAATGAAAAAATTCGAGCTACGTGGTGCAGTCATGTGGTTTTCACACCTTTAGCATTCCCCCTGCAACCCCCCGACTTTCCCCCTAACTTCTTCTCTCCTCCCTCCTTTCCCTCCTCTGTACTTTCCATCTTCG